ATAAAATATATCGATGAGAAAATTGCCTTTTCTATTACTCCACAAATGGCTAAGCTCTCTCCCCGCTATAATTTCAAATAGAAGATATGATGTATTTTATATCAAATGAAAGCCCATGAAAAATGGGATTTACTGATACTAAATAGTAAGAGTGTGAAGAACTTTAATGTATTAAACTTTGAAAAACCATGGAATTTTCTCCACAAAAACTGTTATAATTCATTTTTACGAGTTGTAAGGCAAAGAAAATTAAGAATTGTCTAGAAAAAGTGAAAAACGGTTATCCTAGCGATTATAAGATGTGAGTATGACTCACAAAATAAGACTATCTTTTTGCATTCTGTTGTCTACTCCTCGTGGTAGCAGTTATTTAAAAGATTTTTTCGCTTTCGTTCGGTTAGAAAGTTAGAGCGGGGAGAGAGCTTAGCCATTTGTGGAGTAATAGAAAAGGCAATTTTCTCATCGATATATTTTATAATATAGTTCATTGTCTTGTTGCATCAAGGAAGTTTTATTATTTGAAATGGCTGGTGCTTATGATACCGAACAACAAAGAATGATTGACATAATCAAATGTATTACTTTCCGTGAAGCTCGCGATGCTGGTGCAACATTTATAAATAGACAATGGATCGCCGATAAAATTCACCGTACGACTCGATTTGTCTCAGAGTGGTGGGAAAAATCATATGACCAATGCATTGCTGATTATTCAAATGCTGGTCCTAAACTTTAAGTTATCACAAGCTGGTCAAGACATTATTCGTAAAGCAAGTGGTCGGCAAGGAAAAAGCGGGTCATTCCTATTTTTGCTTCGTGAAGTATAGTCACATTTTTCTTTTTTGTTATCGTTACATTCTTTGTGCATCTGCCTCTCTAAGTCGATACGAGAGTACCGATGGCAGAGGCAATTAATATTGATCCTAATGAAGATCTTCATTCTGGAAAGGAATATGAGACAATGGAACAAGGTTCTATATCAAATGTTCAGGTTGAACTTATATCAAGATTTTTATCGGAGTGTCCGCAAGCAGCTTTAAATGTACACAAGTACCTGCAGAAAAATTATTCAAAATCAAATCAGCAACAACAACAACTCATGCAACCAGTGAATTCAACACCGAAACGTGGTCATCCACTAGATGAAAGCGGAGGTTCGATCAGCAACGGAAGAGGTCTTCGTAAACATCCTCGAAGAGGTATTGACAATAATGCACATAAGCACTCACATAATGTATAACCAGAAATTAATTTACAAACACAGCAACCATCGTCTTCAATGTCGTCAGATGTAAGACAACATCAAGAGATAAATCAAGATAATACGAATCGTACACAAATTTCTTTTAATCAACTGAAGCACGCGGTATCGTCTAATTTACCATGTTTCTTTATTGAATTCACCTCGGATGCGGATCGTAATAGTATTCCAACAGCTCTTCATGCAAGTGATCTTATACTGAAAGAACTGCAAACCAATGGTGTTTTAATCAATAGATTTACATTAGTAGGATGGGCAGGAAAAAAGCTAAAGTTAGGTGTTAATAATAAAGAAGATTACGCTACTCTCGTCAGTTCGGATAAATGGCCAACAAAGATAAATGGAACTGATATTGTGGTCGTGAAACCAAAATATATACCTGATTCATTCGCTCTCGTCGTCCGTTATGTACCTAGGGAACTAGATGAAAATTTTGTTTCAAATGAAATTCAGCGAACAATTGCTTCTGCAGATCGTATTAAACGTATTCATTATTCATACCAAAGAAGAACAGATGATTATCGATTCGATGTGAAAGATTA